GGAGAGCTGATATAATGGTTCTCCCTCGTAGGCAGGGGGGATATTCTTTAATAACTGTAAGATCAATTTCTATTTTGCATCAGTCCTTTTACAGTCTTCTTTGCCACAATATCTGAATGATTTCCAGTGGCACATTAAGTGATGGGGCTTGATATCAGTCACATGTGGTTTGTTCTTTTATCCTCTCCCCAGGGAGAGAATTATGTATGCAGCATACTGGTTATGTTGCTAGGGTTTTGTTGGTTTTTTGTTTAACATATGCACTGCTGCACGTTCATGTTGGAGAAGGCCACATCAAAGCAGGCATGCTGCATTTACGTGAGAAGGTGATGAGGCTTCTGATGGCCTTTAGTTCCCAGAGGATCTCCAGTATTTCCCCAGGCTAAGCCCTGCAGACTCCATTTCCCACCCACTGGTATCACAGCACCATTTTGGGACAACGATGGCAAACTTCCTCTCCTGGCTTGCAAGTCCTTCAGCAATACTTGTAAAGCTCACATACCAGCAGTTTGCCATACAGCACTGGAATTTGTCCTCCAAGTTCCGAGCTTTGCCACCTGGTCCCAAAGGGAATAATCTCAGAAACAGAATCTCGGAGCAGAAAGAAATGTTCGAGCTCTGTGTCCTCCCTCCTGCCCTTCCTGTGCCATTTTCCTCATTTCTTGCATGGGCAAATAGTAAATACCAATTTAATCTGCAATGACAATTACTTCTAAAGGCAGGAATCACCAGTGTGGATTTGGGAGGTCTTTCACGTGTTCATCTGAGAGAAGGTCACGTCAAGGAGGAGCACGTTATGTTTGAACTGGAAAGTGTGGAGAAATATCTGTCCCAAATAGCTCCAGTGTCTGATCTCCTTCATGTTTCTAATACAGATATCCTCAGGCTGTTTCCCCAAGGCAGGGAAATACCATTATTCGCTCTGTCTGTGACAGAAGAGTGGGGTTAAGTGACTTGCTAAAATGATACAGGAAATGTGTGGAGGTGCTGAATCCTTGGCTAACACTGAGCCATCATTCTGAGCTTTTAGAGACAACAGCTATATCCAGCCACCTTTATTTATTTCTCCAGAAGCCACCATGCCAAAACCTCTGCTAAATTAGAGAGGGAGGCTAAAGGAAAGCTTTCAGCGGATTGCTTTTTTCCGTAAATGGAAATACCACAAATCATTCTGGGAAAAACAGGTCTTTCTGTTCTCTTCCCTCTTTGTCTGTTTCTCTCCTTTTGGATGTCTCTCCCTCTGGCTCCCAGTTTTCAGATGTACAGTCCTGACCATCTAAAAGCATTCCCTTCTCCCTGTGGGAAGGGAGCAGCTTTGTATTCTTCGGAACTTACTATTTGCCAACGGATTGCACTCCGCAGGCAGTCGAGACTTCTGAAAAAGCCAGGGCTGTACAAAGCAGCACAAAAATAAACCGTGCCATCAACAGCACTGAGCCAGGTTCCCATCAGGGGTAACTTGGTCCGGCTCGCGCTGCAGCAGAGCCGGCAGCTGCCAGCTGCCCTGCATAGACAGCATGTACCCAAACGGTGGCTGGCCGCCTTGCAGGAGGCCTCTCTGAGACCAAGTACTCAGTCAGTGCTGATGTCTATGCGTTTTAGACGTAGAGTCCCTCTTGGCACTGTGGCAGGTCAGAGCTCAAAGCGCTGCCTCTGCTCCCAAGCTTTCCAAAGTTTGGGCAGGTAAATGCTGGGGGTTTGACTGAACCCAGCAACATCTTGGGAGATGCTCTGGAATATTGCCATGGTATCAGAAGGCTGACATCATGTCAGAGGCTAGGGGTGTTTTCCATGGACCTGGGCAACCACACTTTTTTGGCCCTGAGACAAGTCAGAGCTCTTCCCCAGCTGCTCTGCACATCCAAAATCAGGCTGCCCCAGGAGCCCCACAGCAACATTGGATGGAAGGAGTTGGCTGTAGAGAATGAGACTGAGAAATGGGAGGAGGATCTGGAGGTTGAGGGGAGAACTGGAAGCTGGGAGAGCTGCAATGAGAGGGTGGAAATGTGTAGCTTGAGTTTCTTGTGGGTTTGCAAAGTCACAGTGCTCAACACCTGCCTGGGGTTCACAGCATGAAATACTTCATCAGGAAGAATGGGAAGGGCAAAAGGACATGAGTATGTATGAGGATACATCTTTCCTCTCTCCTTAAAGGGGTCCCAGAGTCCTGCACATCCTCCAAAATAGAGATGTGCTCATGCACAGGCATTCAGGGGTACTAACCGTGGTGTGGAACATGGTTCTTCCCTCCCTGGCTTTGCAAACGGCATGTGCGGAATGGGAGAAGGGCCTTGTGTCAGACTTCTGAAACACTGCTGAGCTTTTCTAAACCCCTCCCCACAAGTGGCTGAGGGGCTTCCACTGGCACAGGAGCTGGGGAGGCTGTCCCACCATCCCAGCGGGCCACAGATGTCCAGGAGAGGATTGCCAAGCCGTCTTGGCATGAGAGGCGACTGCTCCACACTGAGCTGATTTCTGAGCCATCGCATCTGCCCTGAGCACACATACAGCCTGTGACAGCCATGCAGCCACCCTGCGCCCTCTGGAGGAGTGCAAGGCAGAGCAGTGCTGTCCCCCCCATCTCATGAGGTGGGTCTCCAAGGCAGAGATAAGAAATGGTTTCAGCAGCATGCCTGTGGCAGGACAGAAACTGAATCTTGTTCTCTATTCCCAGTCACCACGTTAATGACCTAAATTCTGCATTCTTTCTCCATCCATTGCCCAGATGAGCTAGGAGGTATTGGAGGAGAAGCCGTGGCAGGACAGGCAAGCATCTGTCTTCTGGAGCCACAGCTCCATGCTTGTATCACAGACAGCAGCAACTCAATGGGACCAGCGTTGCCCACGCTGCCCTCATGAACACCAGTGGGGCTGAACCAGGACCAGACCAGAGCAGCACATCATCCCAGGGTGAAAAGCAGTTCCTCAGTGCCACGGCATTTTAAGCAAGCAGGTTTGGACAGCCCAATGGCCAAACACCCTGCTGAGCATCAGCAGCAGAACACTTTGGACATCCAGCACTGGGAGCAGGTTTTTTCAAAGAGCCTGCCTGTCCACTTGCCTTGTACTATGTGGGCAAGTAGCAGGTGAGAGTGTAGTGGGGAAATTTGCTTGGCTGTGGATCTTTCCTTCCAGGAGAGCCATGGCTGAGAAGCAGACACTTGAGGTAACTGCATTGTGGAAGGGTGATTAATAACTTATAACCCGTGGGTTAGATGTAGGAATAACACTTCAGAGATACACGGAGAGGCTTTGTTCCTACTTTCTCCTCCTAGTGCTTACCTTTTACACACACTCCTCTCCTCTTCTTGGGTGCTCCTTGTACTAACAGCGAATGGTGATATGAATCTCACAAGTACCAGGCAAAAACTGACAGGACTCAGAAGAGCCAAGCATAGGGGCTGACTCAGAGAAACTTCAGTCTGTGCAGTCTCCCAAACCTTATTCAAGCAAGGCTTTGCCTGGAGAAAAGCCCAGGGAGAATCATCTATGTTTCTACATATTCCCAAATACCTGAGAGACCATTGGAAATCATCTGGAACAAATCTTCTGAGACATGACTCAGGAACCTGACATGGTGCCTGAGGTCTCAGTCTGGCAAGAGTTAGCCTGGAAGAGCTCTAGGTTCCTCACAAACAACCGTTCCTGGAGGCAACATCTACAGTTGTGGTAGCTTCAAAATCCCCTGCCCTGCACACCCAGCTGGTACCACGGCTGGGCAAGGATGGCAGAGCAGGTTTCTCAGGTTGCCACAACACTTGTCATTCTCAGCATTCAGGCTGTAAAGTCCCTTGCTGAGGGCTCAGTCAGTTTGAAACACTGATGGCTGATCTCCAGCTAGGGGGCCCCTGGGACTGCCATGCCTAGCCATGCACCCACTTGGGTACTGTGGTCCTCCTTCCCAAAGAACCTTGTACCAACATGAACAACCAGGTACCTCAATATACTAATCGATGTCCAGTCAACCAATGGCCATGATGATGACTATGCTCAAAGATTACCAATCTGCTGTGGTATTGCTGATTTCAAGAGGAGAGTGACACAAGTGTTGAAAAGAAGAGACTGGTAGAAATCTCAGATGATGATGGACTGTGAAGATCTCTCAGGCCTTCTGGTGAGATGGCTTTGCTGGTCGTAGAGTGCGTTAAAGAGGGTGCCCTGTGGCTTTAGATGAGAGGCTGGTAGAAGTAACCTGGATGGGGGATTTTCACCAGCTTGGTGAATCTGTGGGTGACCCAGATTCTCAACCACAGCAGAAGATTTGGTTCCCCCAGCACATGGGCTCCTTGGCTGCAGGGCTGCACCCCAACACTCACGCCGAACTTCTTGCAGGCTTAATCTGTGAGCAGACATAAGAGGAGGCCTGCTAAAGGCACACAAAGCAGGCAGTCATACGGAGCAAGTAGATTAGGAGCTTTTGTTCTTCTCGTACAACAGTGGAACAATGGAACATATCCCTCCAGTGAAATGAATAGGTATAGCAAATTCACAGCAGAGGAAAACAAACACTTCTCTGCACAAATACAATCAGCCCTCTGTATGCAACACCACTGGAATTCACCGAGGCTATGCCAGGTGAAATTCAAGTGGAGAATTGGCCTCTCTGTAACTATGCAAACACCTGAAGTTGTTTCAGTCGATGCGAACAGAAGGGATGCTAACCCATGAGTTTTGCCATCTGTGACTCCAGTTCCACCTCCTACAGAGGCAGGACAGACCCCTTGTCCATGCATGGCCAAAACCTCCAGTGCTTCCAAATCCCAGAGCAAGGGACACTGGGCCAAGTAGACATCAGTCTGTGTCCGGCCCGTGTTCCTCTACAAAGAAGAGAGAGATGGGTGTGTGAGCATGTGAGGACAGCAGCTAATGGTCCCCATGTGAGTGTGCATGCTGCCTGGGAGAAAGGAAGGGAGGGAGTAAGGAGCAACACAGAGGGCAGTTGCTCCTTCAAGGAGGTTGCTGGTGTTCTCATTTGTTCTTTTTTTTCTCTTGTTCCCTAGGGAATTTTAAAGGTCTGTGTAAGCAAATCGATCACTTCCCTGAGGATGCAGATTATGAAGCCGATACAGCAGAATATTTCCTCCGTAAGTCCACAGGCCCTTTTCCCAGAAACTGCTCATAGGTGCTGTCATCGGGTGCCTTTTGCTCTCTGAAAACAGTGCAGTGCAGATCCTGGATCCTGTGGAGCTCAGGGGGCGGAGGGAGGGACGGCTGTGAGAGGTGGGCAGGGCCCCCCCAGATCCACTGAGTCTTTGCATCTGGCTGCAGTCTCACCTCCCTGGCACCTGCCATTGAGACAAGTCAAGTGTCATGACAACCAATTTCTTATTAGCAGCAATTCATTGTGATATAAACCCGGAGTCTTCTAACCCAAATGCATCAGAGTTTGGCACGTGACAATAGCAGTTTCTGAGCCCCTCAGTGGGCGAGAGGCATGGGGACAGAGGAGGGCTGCAGGGGCCATCCTTCATAGTTGCAGCTGATTCTGCAGCCAAATCCTGGGTACAGGAACACCAGAGCTCCCCTCTGTATCACTGACCTAACTCAAGCATCCTCTCTGCCCAAACATGCCCACTTCACATAGAACAAGGTTGTGCTTCCTTATCTCATACTCTGATTGCATCAGATCTAAGAAATTCTTCTGGACTGCAGTGAATGGAGACACACGTTTCTCTCTTGTTCTACCTCTCTCCAAACACGACGTTTCTACAGAGCAGACCCACAGCACACATAACCCCAGCTGGCAATGAGCCACCACTTCCTCCTACCCTGAGAGCTCAGCTGAACAGGAGTCACTCCCCTTCCCAGGTCTGCCCCCTTGCTTTCTTTTCCACCCTCTGCACACTCACAGCATCTTTTGGCACCATGAGAAGAGATCTTCTCCGTTCAGGAATCTGAGACAAGAGATTTTGACCTCCCAAGGTGAAGCACCAGAGGTCTCCAAAGACCAGCAGCATATCAAAGCTGCTCCTTGTCAGCCAGCTGTGCTGGAAGCCAGATGTGGAGACCCAGCCCTGTGGCAGAGATGAGAGAGAGAATTTAGACTCTGAAAAGCTCGTTTGTATATGAAAAGAGATGGCTCTTACTGCTTGCACTCTTACTGTTTGGGAGTGAGGAAACTGCAAGCATCCTTTGAACTTCAGGAAGGAGAGCTGGGGGAAGGGATTGAGCATCCCAAGAGCTGGGGATTCATTCTCTCAGAGGGAACAAAACCCACAAAATCTGGCCAATGCCAGGACCTGAGAGTGTCCTAAGACAGAACATTTTTGAAAAATTAGATTCGAAGTGGGGTTTGGCCACTTAGTTAAGGACTCCTGAGGTCTCTCCTTGAGGAAGTTGGGCTTCTGCTGCCTGGCTGCATAAGGACCCCACCAAGCCGCCTCTTCCCCAAGCCTTCTGCCAAATTGAGTCCATGGGTGGTGGTGCTGGCAAGGGCAGCTGGGAGGATATTCACTGTTATCAACTTAAGTGATCCCTTCGGTTCAAGGACTACGATAATCATGGGACAGTGCCCGTGGCCCATCTAGAAGGGCTTAGACTTGATGCCTGTCAGACATCTTCAGAAGGTATTTCATGTTTCTGAGAATTAAACATCCATTAGAGAGGAAGCAGCGGCATCCCTGTGTTCACTTGCTAACATGAAGTTAGAAAATAGGCAGATGCTATGAGCATCCAAATACCATCACAAATCCTTTTGTCTTTAGACCCAAGGATCCAGAAAACCAGATGAAACCCTGCCCCTCTCTTGCTTCCTTGGTCCTTCCAAGGAGCGGGAAGCAGGGCCTACCCTCACACTTTTCACACTGCCTGCAGCTCCCCACATCAGCGGGCACATTCTGGTTCTCCTAGCATGTGGGAATTTCTGAAATAAGACCCAGTTAAAACTGATAAGGTCAGAGCAGGGTTGTGAGCGTCCCTCTAGAAACATTCCAAACAGAGGATGCTGGCTTGATATTTGCTCACCTCCATTTAGCTTCACCTTGTTGAATTCTGCCTTGCCTTCCAGAAGCTATTAAGATGGTTATTATCACTCTCCTGTTCCCTGAAACTCAGCCAAGGTGAGATGGAAAGCAAGCGAGAGGTTTATCCCTGCTTACTGCATTCTCAACACACCAGCAGGGGGCTTGGCCCCCCACTCAAAGAGCCCATTTCTTCTGCCTGGTAGGACTCAAACACCAGCAGGGTCTTTGAAAAAAGTCTATTCTTGCACCAGAAAATGTCCCACTTTTGGGACTGAGGGGCAGGATTTGATGATCCTTATGGATTCTTTCCAACTTGGGATATTCTATGATTCCGTGATTTGCTTCAGGAGGGTCCGTTCCTGTAGGCAAGGAGTGTTTGGCTTTCATCCTTCTTTCCCTATCTTTGCTCCACAAGCAGAATTGCACCAACCCGTCTGATACCTTTCTTTAGCAAGCAAGGCTTCATTTCACGCTTTACAGATTACTTCCTCTTGGGAAGAGAGGAGGGAAGCCCTTCTCAGTAAAAAAAAAAAAACAAACAGTGCCAACACAAACCAATGCAGACTGCCTGAATACACGTGAGTTTTCCCCCAGAGCTCTAGGGTTCATTGTGCATCTGCGTGCATTGGTGTCATTGCCCTCTGCCAGCTGAGTTATCCACTATTGACCAATGGCATGTGTATGGAGCTGGCACACGCACACCCCCCCCTGTCCTCTGGAACGAGCCTAGCTCTTTCATCACCAGCATCTTCTGACACACTTTGTCTCTCTCTTCTCACCCCCTTTTTACTCCTCCGTGAATTACTCTGACTCCCCCAAGTCATGCCCCCTGGTCCCCTCGCCCCATGTTGCTGCCACAGCCCTGATTCTTCTCTCTGACACTGCATTGTTGTCTCTGCCCCTCTCCCTCTCTCCTCCGCAGGGGCTGTTAGAGCCTCTAGTATTTTTCCGATCCTGAGTGTGATTCTGCTTTTCATGGGTGGACTCTGCATTGCAGCCAGCGAGTTCTACAAAACTCGACACAACATCATCCTTAGTGCCGGCATCTTCTTCGTGTCTGCAGGTAATGGGACATGTGTGGGCCGGGCTCCGGGGTAAGGGAGGGCTGCTTTTCCAACCTGGGATGAAGGCAACACCCTGAGGAAGCCTCTCCGTCTGCCACATAGGGAGGGAGGATCCTCATGGCTGGTGGCTTTAGGGGGCCATCAGGGTGTGGGGGATGCAGGAGCAAGGGCTTGCCCAGGAAAAGCTGCAATGGAGACCAGCAGGTAGGTATGGGACTCCATTACCCCTCCTGGCAGCAGGAGGGCAGGAGTCTCATCCCACGGCCACCGCCACGCGTTGTCCTCCTGACGGCTGCCTCTCCCCCAGGTCTGAGTAATATAATCGGGATCATCGTATACATATCAGCCAACGCTGGAGACCCCTCGAAGAGCGACTCCAAGAAGAACAGCTACTCCTACGGCTGGTCCTTCTACTTTGGGGCCCTGTCCTTCATTATAGCCGAGATGGTGGGAGTGCTGGCCGTCCACATGTTCATCGACCGGCACAAACAGCTGCGCGCCAACGCTCGCGCCACGGACTACCTCCAGTCCTCCGCCATCACCCGCATCCCCAGCTACCGGTACCGCTACCAGAGACGCAGCCGCTCCAGCTCCCGCTCCACCGAGCCTTCACACTCCAGGGATGCCTCTCCCGTCGGGATCAAAGGGTTCAACACCCTTCCATCAACAGAGATCTCGATGTACACCCTGAGCAGGGACCCGCTGAAGGCCACCACCACCCCTACCGCTACCTACAACTCCGACAGGGATAACAGCTTCCTCCAGGTTCACAACTGTATCCAGAAGGAGAACAAGGACTCGATCCACACCAACACAGCCAACCGCCGGACCACCCCGGTATGAAGCCGCCGCCAGGAGCTGCGAGTGGGAAAGGAGGAGGCAGGAGGATGGGGTGGGTGATGGGGGAGGGGGGGGTGGGCTGGGGGGTGAGGGCAAAGGGGGTGGCGGGGTGGGAGGAGGTGTGAGCGCCCCCGGGGTGGGGCCCTCGCAATCGCAAAAAAAAACAAACGAACAAACAAGCAAACAAACAAACAAACATAGAGAAAAAAGTGTAAAAAAAAAAAAAAAAAAAAAGCATTAAAAAAAAAAAAACACGCGCGAAAAATAGGAAATAAAATACGGAGCGACCGGCGAGCAAAGAGATAAGCAGACAAACGAGCACGTGAACACAAAGCAAACGTACAGCGAGCAAACAAAATACAAAAGGAAACGTGAGGGAAGAAACAACAGAGAAAAAAAAAAAAAAACTTGAAAAAAAAAAAAGAAAAAAAAGAAAAAAAAGAAAAAACTTTAAAACCGAGAGAAAGAGATTTAAAAAAAAAAAAATAGAAATAAATTTAAAAGAAAATGCATGATTTCCCATGTACCATTATTTTAACATTTAATAAAAAGAGATTTAAAAAAAAATATAAAAGGGAACCAAGAAATAACGACAATAAACCAAGTGGGAGGAAGAGGAGAAGGAGTATGAAGAGGAGGTGGCAGCTCTTTGGGTTTGGGGGGGGGATTCTTTAATTTTATGGTTCATTTCCCACTTCCTTCAGCTCAGCGCAGGCTCCTGGGGGGCCCGGACCTGCAGCAACCCCTCCATGTCCCCAAGGTCAGCTGAAGGCTGCGGGGGCTCTCGGGGTGCAGGAGGGCACTCAGCCCCTCCAGGACCCGCTCAGCCCCTCCTGGGAGCCCAGGAGCCACTTGTCCCCTGCGGGTCCCTATGAGCAAAGGTGGCCACTATGCCCTGGGAGCACAGGAGCTGCCTGCAGTGTTCCCCGGGCTCCTGGGGGCTCCCCCGGTTCTGGAGACCCCCCCTCTCCCCTCCCATCGACCAGGGTCAGCAATGACAGTGCGAAAAAGCAGAGACACGCAATGTCAAAAAGAAAAAAAAGGAAAAAAAATAAAAAAAGAAAAGAAAAAAAAAGGGAAAAAAAAAAAGGTCAAAAAAGGTTTCTTAAAAAAAAAAGACAAAAAAAGTGGCAATTTTTTTAATAAAAAAGCAACTATAAATAAATGTAAATATAATAAGTGGATTTACTTGCAAGAGAAAACAGATAGCATTATTTTTGTTTTCATTTTTATTTTCTCCAGCTTTAAACTGTGAAAAATCAAGGTGGGCAGCAGAGGGAGGGGGGGAGGGGGTTGCAGGGTGGGGGGACCCGGAGGGGAGAAGGGTTCCCATTGCTCAGCGTGCTGCTGCAGGGGGGCTGCTGCAGGGGTGGGGGGCACACACTCACTCCCCTGTGAATGCTCACGGGCTCCCCAAATACTCCTGGTCATCCCCCCTCCCCCCACAACAAGCCCCCATTCCCCCCACCCAGGGCACCCACCTCTCGTTTTGGGGGGGTCCCTTTGTAGCAGCCCCCCCACGCTGCCTGGATTCAGCTGAATTCATACAGATTTGGTGCACCTGCACAGGGGGGGGATGGGGACGTGAAGAGGGGAGGAGGGTCAGGGTCCCTGGGGATAGGATCCTCAGGGGCTGCCCCCATAGCTGTGATGTGCGCAGGATGGGTGCGCCGAGCCCTGGGGCAGCTCAGACCTATTTTTTTCCAAATTTCTGGCTTTAATATGATTTTTTTTTTCTTTTTTTTTCCATTCCCGTCCCTGCTGCTCCAGTTTCAGGAGCCTGCCAGGCTCCCACTTCGGCTCCCAGTGGGGTTTCTGCTTAAAAGCATCCCGATGCCTCCACCCCCATCGCCCCCAAATATCTCAGCCCCCATGGCAGGGCGAGGGGAGCAGGTTGGATATCCAGACCCTTGCTCACAAACCTCCCTCCACTCAAACTCTAAAAAATAATATTATTAAAAAAAAAAAAGAGGGACAAAAATTCCAAACAAACCCCCACCGGCCCATAGGGACAAGCGATGCTCGGTGCCCCGGACTGCAGCATAAGGAAGAGCAGTGTTTGGGGTTAAACCCAAAAGCTCCATGGAGCTGGGGAGCATTCACAGGGAGAGGCAGGGGACGAGTGCCGGACCCCCCTGCCAGGGATGGGGAGGGATGAGGGCTGGCAGGGATGCGTTCTTCCGAGGGTATTGCACATGTCCAGCTCAAAGCAGTACAAGAAAAAACCGACCTCCATTTACTTTTCTTTCGTGGGTTTTTTTTCAGACTGTTAAAAAGAAAAAAAAATTTTAAAAAGAGAAAATGACAAAAAAAAAAAAAAATTCCTGGTACATGAAATAAAGATTTTTTTTTTTTATAACTCGGTCCTCGTTCAAGTGGATTTATTTTTTGGAGGGTGCAAGGGGGAGTGGGATTAAAGTGAAAAAGGCCCCGATGGGCTGGAGGAGCACCTGGAAAATAGCAATGGGGTCAAACCCTGCCGATGCCTTCACCCAGGGGGTGGCATGGAGCCCCACAGCCTTCACAGCAAAGGAGGAAAAGGAGGGATGATGAGGCTTTGCTTTACAGTGAGCACAGGTAAACTTAAGCCATGCTGTCCTCCAACCTTGAGAAGTGGCCATGAGGATGGGTGTGTGCAGGGTTTTACTTGACCGCTCCCCAAATTCCCGGCTGTGCTCCCCAGGGCAGGATGGGATCGTTGAGCCATCGCTCCCCATGCTACCCCCACCCGCTGCCCCATTTCGGCTCCTCCCTGGGGACCCCTTCCTTACAAAACCAGGGCACGGGGGGGAAGGGGGAGGCAGTAAAGCAGGACAGGATGCGGCCAACCCTGCAAGTGGGACGCTGCCAGACATGGCTCCAGCCCCATGTCCTGCATGGTGCCCGGCCGTGATGGGGGGGCACAGCTCAGCCCCCAGCTCTCAGAGATGTTCCTTCCTCATCAGGGCTAAAGGTGTGCTCCTTTCTTCCTCTCCACTTTCTTCTTTCTCCTCGCTTTTGTGGGTCAGGGCAGGAGGGGGAAGGCAACATCTGAAAATCAGATGTGCCCCGTTCTGCTCCGTGCCCCAGACAGGGCCGGCCTCCATGCAGTAACAAGGAACAGCAGCACTCAGCACTTTTCATGTTCAAAGCACTTCCCTAACGTTCTCTAGTGAATCTGTCTCATTGAGCAATGCAAAGGACTTGTGCGTGGACAGCAGTCCTCCTCTGCCCCATCCCCTGGGCTATGCAGACATTTCGGGTGGGTGCCAGCCCCGTCCTCACCCAGGGTCACAGTGCCCCTCCTGTCCCAGCTAACCTCTACCAGCACTGGCTTCACTGGCTCCCAGCCATTTCCTTCACCGCAGCCTTCTCCTCCACACCACCGGGCCAGGAAAGGGCCAGGGGGTCTCAGAGACCTCCTGCCCTGTGACTGAGACAAGCCTACATATCTGGTCCCACAAAGACAGGGCTGAAGAGTGTATGAGAGACAGCTTTGCTTCTGCTGAGACCCTGTGAGAGCTCTGCATGCAGGGAAACCCGGCTCCATGGCAATTAAATTAACACAGGGCATTTAGCAGTGTCGCTTAAACGGTTTCAACACCTAGGAGAGGTAATTAGTAGTAATGGTTTGGCGAGGGAGGAAATTAAGACCCAGGTACGGCGCTTTTGTCTGCAGATAATTTTCAGTGCCAAACGACTGTAAGGAAAAGGCTGAGTGCCAGGCACGCAGGCTGCTTGCCTTACTGCCATGGCGGGACATTCCTGAAACCAGGAGGCCAAGCAACAGGAGGAGTGGGGAAGGTGAGGCTGCACCTCGAGTCCTGTGGTCAGTTGTGGGCCCCTCACTACCAGAAAGACATGGAGGCCTTGGAGTGCGTCCAGAGAAGGGCAACGGAGCTGTGAGGGGTCTGGATGGGGAGCGGCTGAGGGAACTGGGGTTGTTCAATCTGAAGGACAGGAACTCAGTGGAGAACACAGTGCTCTCTACAGTGATGTGAAAGGAGGTGGGAGTTAGCCTCTGCTCCCAGGTAACAATGATAGGATGAGAAGTTGCACCAGGGGAGCTTCAGGTTGGATACTGGGAAAAATTTCTTCTCCAAAAGAGCAGTGCTGCAGTGGCACAGGCTGCCCAGGGAGGTGGTGCAGTCACCGTCCCTGGAGGTGTTCCAGAGCCGTGTGGATGTGGCACTGAGGGACGTGGTCAGTGGGCACTGTGGGGATGGGCTGGTGGTTGGACCAGGTGATCTTAGAGATCTTTTCCAACCTTCATAATACTGTGATTTTATTGAGATTGGCTGAGAGAGGTTGGCCAAGGACAGGGCTTGCTTGGCAGTGCTGGGTATTGTCTGATCACAAGGCTGGCCCCAGGGAAGTAGACACCCCACAGGGCCTTCTTGCTGCAGGGAGGCTCCAGAGGCAGAGGCAGGAGGAGGAGGTCACGGTTTAGAGTGGCAAAGGGAGAGTAACTTTCAAGCATGGCCTGGAGACCTCCAGCCACTTCCAGGAGGTTCCCATACAAACAACATAACTTTCCTGCTTTCCTGCAGAGCAAAAGCTTCCAGCAGCAGAGGAATGCTAGAGGGACCACAGAATCATCAAGACTGCTAAAGTCCTCTGAGATCATCCAATCCAACCACCATCCCATCCCCACCATGCTCACTAACCACGTCCCTCATCCACACACATTTCTGGAACACCTCCAGGGACAGTGACTCCACCACCTTCTTGGGCAGCCTGTTTCAGTGCCTCGCCATTATTTCTGGGAAGAGCAAGGGTCATGCTGCTTCCTATGGGCACAGCAGTGAGGCAGGATCCTGGGCTGCAAATCCCAGCCTGGTGTAGACGTGAACCCTTCTGGCAGCACATTGTCACCTGTGCTGATTTTCCACCAAGAGGAACAATGTGTGAATGATGCCAAACCCAGCTGTCCTCCTTTCACTTTCCCTCTGTTGAAACCTCCAGGTGGACACACACACAGGAGATGGGGGTGTAGGGTTGGGCATGGGGACAAGGTGCCCTCTGCAGCCATGGGCTCTTGACATTGCGCAGTCAGCGATGAGGAAGC